AACACAGCCGCTGTGACGAAACCGTGGAGAAGACACGTCACCTTGGAGAGCCGTTAACCAATATGCAAATTAACCTGCAGTTGGTATTCAGAGCTTTAATGAGCTGACAACTTTATCTATTTCCTCGCTGCCTGCACCGGCTCAGTGATGCACCGACCACCAGGAAATGTCCCGGTACTCCCAATGGCCAGTCCACCCCTGGTGATCAGTTTCATATCAGACTTAAAGTGCATTGAGACGTGTATTTACACGTCTTTTTACTAGAAGAATGACTTCACAGTTAAAAAGTTACACGTAAATAAATAAAAAAAAAACATTATTTCAGGTTTAGCTACAGTATCTGTATTTGTAGTTGCATTTTTTAATTTAACATCTTATTGCAGCCTAAATTCCAACAGTTAAGTTGCTAAACTTACTTTTAAAAACAAATTCTTTGGTCCGTGGTGAATTTCCAAACTATGCTGACTCATTAAAAAAAAAATAAATAAAAAGAACTCCACCATCTTTGTTTCTGTTTATTTGCTGCCCCCACATTGAATCCTGGGATATCCTCGGCCAGTGAGGGTACACGAGTGMATCCTCAGATTTTGAATGTCTGTTGACATACTTCCAGGAGAGTTTGAGATATCCAGCCTTGAAGGCCATGTAGCGGTGCAGAATTRGAAAAACACACTTGTTTTGKAACAGGCTGACTTCTGTAGATTTACTTGTCGCCTTAACRTCTCACTAGAACTCTTGTGCCGAAAATCCAATCAGCCAAATTTGTTGGTCATCCTCGCCTATCTAGACCTAGATCTATACATTCCTGCCAGCTGGCTCAGAAGCCACAGTAAATCTGCAACCCTCAGCAAGAGCAGCATCCAACTTCCGACTCTGCTTCAGCAGTGCTTGAGTCTGAGTGCTGACAGCACAGCAAATTCCATCACACAAGGCAGGCAGCCATAACAGGGCTTGAACAGCTGCCAACACTTTCCGTATTTCACACTATGCAAGATAGCCCCCTCCACCAATCAGTAGAAATCCTGCTATCATTAATCCAATTATCCGAACATCTTCCACGTCCTCAAAAATACATGTATAAAAGATTAATTCATTATGCTTTACAGGAAAAGGTTAATTTAAACTATATTGGAAGCGTGATGACTCAGTAAGCCTCAAGAAGGTCCTGGGTTTTTAGAAAATTGTTTTGACCTTCATAACATTTCTTTTCCTTTACAATATCACAGTATAATGTTTAGTAAAGCCTCTGACATTGTACCATGTTGAAAACGTATGTCTACMTTTGAAATCTTAAAAAAGACCTAATTTTTTAACACGCTAATCCCATTGTTAACTTCCTGTGAGGAAGGTACTTAAACAACTCGATCCTTTAATCAAACAGTGCCATCAAGTGTAGCTTTTTGACTTACAGATGTAAACCAATTGATAAAAAAGCTCAAACTTGGTCAAGTTCAGTTCATGACTCAGTTAGAAATAAGGCCTCAGAATGTACAATACCCACTGACTGATCAGAATGCTAAAGGTTTAAATGGCAAAAAAAAAAAAGTTTACATGCTTGGTCAGTCAGGTATCGGGACACAATCACCTGCTGAAATTTGCAATTTCTCTCCTGTGTGGACTGTCATGTGTCTGTTTAAACTACGCTTGTGGCTAAACCTATGTCCGCAGTCCTCACATACAAATGGTTTCTATCCTGTGTGGACTCTCATGTGTGACTTTAAACTACTCTTGTGCCTAAATTTATGTCCACAGACCTCACATACAAAAGGTTTCTGAGCAGTGTGGACTCTCATGTGTGAGTTTAAACTACTCTTATGCCTGCATCTATGTCCACAGACCTCACATACAAATGGTTTCTGTGCAGTGTGGACTCTCATGTGTGAGTTTAAACTACCCTTACAACTAAATTTATGTCCACAATCTTTACACTCAAACGGTTTCTGTCCTGTGTGGACTCTCATGTGTGAGTTTAAACTACCCTTCTGCCTACATTTATGTCCACAGACCTCACATACAAACGGTTTCTGTCCAGTGTGGACTCTCATGTGGGAGTTTAAACTACTCTTCTCCCTACATTTATGCCCACAGACCTCACATACAAATGGTTTCTGTGCAGTGTGGATTCTGATGTGCGAGTTTAAACCACCCTTATAACTAAATCTATGTCCACAGTCCTTGCATTCAAA